CAGTCTTACTTTGTACAGAGCTGCTCTGACTGGCTGTCTGCAGTCCAGCTCTGGTTCTGGATCTGTCTCCACACTGGGGACAGGAGGAGTGTCCCGATGAAGCAGACTGGTCCCAGTATGAGGTGATGCACCGTCTGCAGAACCAGTGTCCACAGCTGGTAGAGACTGGATCCTTCAGGACGTCCTGACACAAAGCACAGCAGGACGGCTGCTCCTCCACAGAAAACAGGACTCCTCTTCCTCTCTCTGTGAAGACATTTCATTAGAACTAAAATGATTTGTTGCTTGTTGTTGAAAAATATCCAGATGTGTCCGACACTGTGTAGAAGCTCAGATGGTCACAGAGTAAAAGTGTTGTTACTTTTCTGTTTGAATTCAGCTTTCAGTCAGTAATGGAGATGATTGTTCCTTTTATTTCAGCTCTCCTGCTTTCAGAAACACTAATTAACTGCTTTTCCTGTCTGACTGTCTGATTAAACATTTAGTGATCTGCCTGCAGTTTGTTATTAACACAAACTCAACACTTCCTGCAGCTCCTTCACAGTAAAAGCCTCCATTAAAGAGAGCTGATTATGTCCTTCACTGTTTTACAGTCACTCTGGGCAGCTTAGCTTGAGTTAGTTAGCTTTGAACTGAGCTTAGAAGTGGTCTAAACACACAGCATGTAACAGCGGTGTCACAGGTTCAAGTCCACACGGAGCCTTGTTTGGATGTCATTCTGTTTCCTGTCACTCTCTACTGTCAACTATCACATGAAAACTATTCAAATATTGTAAAAAGAGAAGTGGTCCAATTTTCTGCCCTTTTTCCATCCACTGCTAACTTTTCCATCAGTGCTGCCCGTGGATGTTTGTTCTTCACCTTTAGGAACAATATATGGTGGAGAGAATCTGAGCTCAAAGCTCCACTTACTAATGATTCAAAGCAAAGTGTTCATCAAGGTGAGCAAAGGTGAACTACAAATGCTTTTTCACCACATGTTGCACAATTATGATCTGAAGTGATTCAAGATGCATCTGGTGGATCAGAACAGCTGATCTGAGGAAGAGCCAAACAGCTCAGTGTTTAGAGGACAAATAGGAAAATGAAACATTTGAAGCAGATTTCAGATTCTGAATCCTTCTAAATCTTTACAGTGACGTCAACGTGAGGGCAAAAATATATGAAGATGTTCTTGAAGTGTAAATTCTGAAATGGAGGTTCTCAGGTGTTTTGCTCCAGAAATCAAATCAGATCCATCTTAGTTTGAAACAGTATCTGCACTAATAGTTCTGCATCAGGAATATAAATCTGTTAGCAGAACATTTTGTCTTCATCCTCAATGCATCATCTTCCATCAGGTCAGTTTACAGTAAAAACTGTCTCTTACTTTGTGTCTGAGGGTCCAGGTTCAGGACTGAAGAATGGAGGTTCCTCTTTGGACAAGTCACTCTTCATAGACAGACTGCTGGATCCTGCAGACTCTGCTCTGTCCTCCTCTTCCTCCACACAAACACTCATTTTCTGGACTTCAGTCAGTCTGAGAGGTAAAACAGTAAAACTGACTGTGAGCTCGTAAACACAAGAATTCTACTGATTCTTTGTGACTGAATAATCTAAACTCAAAGTCCATTTAACAGCTGTTTCTGGAGCTTTAACCCAGTCAGAATTCCACCTATCTATTTGTTTACATGGTTACTGCAGGTTTAATGTATTTTATTCAGCTAATCATGACTTTGTGTCCACAGATGAATCAAAGTGTTGAGTTCCCTCTAACGTTTCTTTCCTCTCCAGTCCACAGGGAGAAAACTGACTCAGAGACTTTGACAGTAAAATAATAAAATGTTGGATTAACACTCACCCTGCCTCAGCCTTCAGTTCTCCTCCTTCTGCTCTGTACTCTAAATGGAGTCTGACTGAACTCTTTCAGCTTCAGGTTCTACCTGTTCTCACCTGGATCACCTGATCAGTGTTGCTCCTCCCCCTCTCCAGTTACAGGAAACCAGGTGAGAATACCTGTATGTCCATATGCGTGTTGTTTTTTTCTAATACAACATCAATATTTAGAGAACCTTTACTATCTAAACTGAAAAATATGAATTCATTTTAAACCTGTTTGTTATAATCTGAGATTATTTTTTAATCTGCAGACTAATTAATGCCAGAGCTTCTCTCCTTCTTGACAGCATGTCTCTGCAAACTCTACATCCTGTTGGACTAACTGATGTTACTTAAGCTCTTGGACTGTTCGGAAAGGATGCAAACTGGCTAACAGTCCTGTGTCTCTGTCCCCCCTGCTGCTGATAGCAGACTGAGAGACTGCAGACAGGTACTGCTGCTAGAGAGAGGAGGGCTGGTTGCTCTCAGCCTCAAAGTTCATTATCAGACACAGAGCCTGAAAAACATCATCACACCCTGTTTAAGTTCTTCACTTCTGTCACATTACACTGAACATTAAATTAAACTCCAGCTGTATTTACATATTATAACTCTGAACTGAACACCCAACCTCATGGAAACAGACACCAACACAGAGAGAAGAGGAGAGAGAGGCAGAGAGGCGACCATCAAAATCATCATCATCATTTCAAAATGATCTCAAGCTTCAGATGTTTAGCTGAGGCTGTACTGAGTGATAAGGTGCATTTTATTTCAGGTGTTCCTGAAGTGGCAGACAAAATATTACTAAAAAATGCAGTTGTTTATTGTTAATTGTTCATGTCACTATTTTAGTAGAAGTTCATCATTAATGAATCACTTTTAAAATTCAGTTTCAGTTACCATTTTTGTCAGTTAGTAATAATCAGAATCAGGAATCTTTTCCTTTAAACTTCTACAGAAAACATTTTAGCAACTTTTAAATGTTTCAGGTTCAATGTTGGTGTAGCAGTTATCTGAAAGAACAAAGTTCTTAGAGTTTAATATTTATATTATAATAATTTATATTATTATAATATTAAAACAATATGTTAACGTTTAGTGATAACTTTTTGCTGTATTATTTTCTCAGGTGTACCTGAAGCGGTGGATAATATATTCCAATCCTTTACAGCAAAACCACCTCTCACTCACCTTCTGGACTTCAGTCAGTCTGAGAGGTAAAACACACACACTTTTGTTCCACTATCCATGTGAGGACCTCTCTTTGACATAACACATTCCCCCAAACACTAATTGTAACCTGAGCCCAAAAACTGAGTCTTAACCCTCAGAAAGCGTCTCTACCCATGGTGACCCGGGTCCTCATGGGTAGAAATGGGTGTGTGGATTCAAGACAAAGTCCCTAAAAAGATATAAGATATCAGAACTGGTACAGCCGTTATCTGAAAGAACATTTGACTTTTAATGAGCTTCTCAAATATGTTTTAGGTTTTACAATAGCTCAAGTTGATTTAGTAATTGTTAATTAAATAAAATAAAAAATTCATGAATCCAGCCACCCGTCATCATCTTCAGCCACTTATCCATGCAGGGTTGCAGGGGAGCTGAAGCCAATCCCAGCTGACATTGGGCAAGAGGTGGGGAACACCCTCCTCAAGTTGACAGTTCATCATGAATCTTCTCCTTTAAATATCAACAGAAAACATTTTAGCTTTGTAACTCGGTTTCAACTTTTAAATGGTTTATGTTCAATGTTGGTTTAGCAGTTTTTTGAAAGAACAAAGTTCTTAGTGTTAAATATGAACACAAGATGTAAATTTTAATGATAATGTTTTACTGCATTATTTGGTCAGGTGTACATAAAGTGGCGGACAATATACAGTACTTAATCCTTTAAAACAAAACCTCCAGTCAGTCACCTTCTGGACTTCAGTCAGTCTGAGAGGCAAAACAGTAACACTGATTGTGAGCAACACAACAAGAACAACAAGTTTATCAAGAGTCACACCCAAAACTGGGATTACAGTAAATACCACACACACACACACAAGTTTATTCCACTATACCTGTGAGGACCTCTCTTTGACATAATGCAGTCCCCTTAATTGTAACCTGAGCCCTCAAACTGAGTCTTGACCCTCACAAAATGTCTATCCACGGTGACACGAGTCCTCATGGGTTTGTGTGGATTCAGGATAAAGTTCCCAACAACATATCAGAACTGGTACAGCCATATTTAACACTAACATAGTTCTTAGCGTTAAATATGAACACAATATGTTAATATTCAATTCAGTTTCTTATTTGTCGCAAGTGGATAATCTGTGCTGCAGCAGGCATAAAAACACATTTGTGGGGAATTGAATGAAAGCCAACAACGCCACCTAGATAACGGCACCCCAGGAAATACTATTTAAACCTTGATTAATTGAAAGACAATAGAGAGAATAGAGCACACAGGAACATTGCTGATGAGGCAGAGACGTGATACAAAATATACCAAAATATATTTATTTTTAATCAGCAAAGAAACAAACAATCAGGGACTGGAACTGCTGAAAGGAAAAGAAATGTGACCCATCAATAAAAACTATTATAAAATGATAGATAAGACAACTTCTTTATTACAATAAATAGTTAAAAATGACTTTAATATAAGTTCAAATAAAGAAATATAAATCCAGCACCCAAAATAACTAACCAAAACTAAGCAGAGGTCAGTGGAGAGGCAGACTGCGATGAAGAGTGCCCAGTAGTGCTACCACTACCCACCTTAAGTGCAGCACTACATACCACACAGCATTATTCACAGCAAAATTGTAAAAATGTAAATGTTCCGTACTTGTATAGCGCCTTTTCGACCACTCAAAGCGCTTTTACACTACATCTGCATTCACCAGTCACACACATTCATACACTGAGCCTAAGTGCTCAAACGGAAACTAACATTCACACTCACTCATACGCTGGCGGAACAGCCGCCAGGGGCAAATCGGGGTTCAGTATCTTGCCCAAGGACACTTTGACACTTTGACACGAGCCAGGGATTGAACCGCTGACCTTCCGATTTGCTCTTGGTGGGAACTGTTGGGCTTCTGTAAATAACATCATAGAGTACGGTGTAGACCTGCTCTTTTATGAAAAGCGCTTTGAGATAACTGTTGTTGTGATTTGGCGCTATATAAATAAAATTGAATTGAATTGAATTGAATTGATTAACGGCCAACCCGCTCTACCTCCTGAGCCACAGCCGCCCAAAATTGTGCAGTCTATATAGTGCCCCCGTGCAATTACTCACATGCAGAAAAGTGAAGGTACCTTGCCACGGGTGCCTAGCCTCCCAACAAGATGGCACCCTGCTCAAAATATAAACTGAATACAAAAGAAACAAATTAACATAAAGTAACAAACCAACCAAGTAATCTAGTTGGCTAACAAGGACAAACTGTACTAAGTAAAGGGGGGACAAAACAGCAAATAAGCAAAACAGGAAAATAAATAAACTAAGTAGGCAAAACAGCAGTGGTCTAAAACAGGAACAGGAGGAACCTGGAAAAGTGAGGGAAACAATTAGCCAGGCTCAACCTTACTGCATTAAAATACATTTAAAACCATGTATCTACTCACCACCTCTGAGATGGCTCATGAAGATACAACAATCAATGGTCACAGGGCAGGGGAAAAGGAGATTCCTAACAGTGTCAAAGTGCAGGTAAGCAACATAATCATCTGTTAAGGGAAAATAGATGTGCATGAAACTGTTCCTTTCACAAACACCAACCATAACCACAGCTATTAAGCCTTTTCTCTCTTATGTCATAACTTGCTAATATGCATATATCTTAAACTGTCAACAATAACTGAGACCCATGGAGCTGTTACTAGTCTTGTCACGTGATCAAAGTGAGGATAATGTTGCAGCGTGTAGCCTCACGTTATGTACTGCAGCCTTCAGCAAATTAATTTTTTAAATTAATTTTTTATTTCAGTCACAGATGCTGACACCCTCGCCTTCATAAAGGCAAAGATCAAGCTGGATAACCTCTACAGTAGGCGTTTCCCACAAACTGATTTATTTGTGGCGGCCTGCTGCATTATCAACGCTGATTTTCCATTGATTTTGTTGATTTAAAATGGGTAAAATCGTATTTGATCACAGAGCTCCGCACAGTGCATGTATTCTCTCAGCATCTCCTCTCACTCCATCTCTCTCTCTCTCTCTCTCTCTCAACCCTGTCCATTATTTAGTGACTGGTAGGCTACCTTATCTGCCTTTTTGCTAGTAATATATTCCACCGTGTTGTCCACCTTCAGACGGCCTGCATTACAACAACATGGGCCGCAGTGTCAAAGATGCGCTTTTTGTCGTCCATCTTCGGAATATTGTAGTTTTATCAATGCCACGTCAGTACCATCCACCGTCACATAATTACATTGCTTAGAAAAGAGCAGTCGGATTCTCTGAGCCCCGCGGTCCTCTTTTCCTAAGCTCTTATGGATTCTCCTTTACATCTTTCCTTGACCACATGACGTTTTCCAACGAGGTCAAGGAAAGGAGGTTAGGAAAGGAGATTTTTTTGACTTTTCGACCGCAGCCCAGGTGTTGTCTTCTTCTTCTTCTTCTTCTGTTCCTTTCCGGCAGACTAGGCACTGTTAGTGCATTGCTGCCTCCCACTGGTGATAGAGACAATCTACATTAAGGCTCCTCCTGGCCTATATTTTCCAATACAGGCCCGCAGATTTTAGGAATTGAATTAGTTCCTATGGTCTCTCTTCTTGATTAGGACCTTCACCCATCAGAGTTTTTAAAGACAGTAGTTCAACTCCCAGGTCGTTTAGACCCATGAATAACCGTCTCCTTTCCTCATCATATCTTGGACAGTGCATGATGACATGTTTGACTGACTCCTCTACTCCACATTCTTGTCTTCTTGTTTCTCTGAGTTACAAACAATTATCTGTTAAACTGAGAAAACAGTCTGGTGTTGGTGGTAATAAGCAGAACTTCAGAGAGGGAACTTTATGCATGCAGGCTGGATGCTGATTTTTCACATCAACTTCCAAAATGTGAGAAATATAATGTGGAAATTAACTGCAATTCTCCATCAATTCACAAGGTGAAGCTGCAACAGAAAGCAAAACAGAAGAATCAATTTAGAAAAGTGTTAATCTTCAGAGGCACTTTGGGTTCAGAAAGTCCGGGTCCAGGTGGAGGAGGTGTCTGAGTGTGCAGCAGAAGGAGTGGAGGAGTCTCAGTGTGTCTGCAGAGACTGTGTAGAAGGACAGAGCAGCAGCAGAGCAGTCCAGATCCACTGATGATCCTCTGTCACATCCAGAGGAACACACAGGGATGATGGTGGACTTGACTTTGTGTCTGACAGTGGAGCTGATCTCAGAGCAGTTCAGACTGCAGCACTGTTGGGATTCCTCTGTCAGTCACTGCTGGATGAAGCTCTCCTCTCCACTCTACCTCCCAGTAACATGGCCCAGTCAGAGCCTCTCCACACACAAGCTGATGCTGCTGCTTCAACCTCTCTGGATCATCAGGACACAGCTGATCCTCTCTCAACACCTCCACCTTCCTCATCAATTACAGATCAAACACAGATGGCCACTGGCTGATGAGAGAAGAAGACAGAGAGCAGAAGTCATAAATCAGAGTTTACAGAGACTCCCTTCATCAGCTGTCAGTCAGTGATGCAGCACATCCAGTATAAAGACCAGCAGGGACTTCAGTCCTGTTCAGACCAGAAGTGGAGCGGCTGTGTAGCGTAGCCAGCTTCCTTTCAGCTCTCATGTTAACGTATTGGAGTGAACACACTGAGACCTGCAGAGACTTTGGCCATCAGCTCTGTTTACTCTGCAGGTTTCACTCAAGTCCACAGTGGAAATAAAGTGCTGAGAGTCCCTGAACGCATCATGACTGCAGAGACAGAGAGATATTCACTGCTCACTGTAATGATGGATTTACTGCTGTTAAAAACCAGCCGCCGCTCAGTCACATTTGAAGATTTCAGCTACTTTGGAAATATTACAGGACAAATCTGTAAATATGGAGACTGTTCTAAAAAAATATGGACCAAACTAAAGACACATGGACAAATATATATATATGATGTGAAAGGGCCTACATGTTCATACAAAGACTGAACAGCTAAACATCAGCTGTGGTCTCATTTATAAACGGTGCGTACAAAACAGGACTGGAAATGTGTGTACGCCACTTCGCACGCAAAGGTTGTGATCTATAAAAAACAAACTTGACGGGAGAATGTGCGGTTGTGACAAGTGGTATGTGAAAGTATAGTTCATAAATTATTTTGATACCAAGTAATCTATTTGAAAAGTTAATCTCATTTTGAAGTTTATTCCAGTACTACAGTATTCCATTTTTGGGACATGTAATTTAATTTAATTTAATTTATAATAGCTAACCTTTATAATAGAGTTTATATGAAGTTGGTCACTGTTTACTTTGTCGTTGGTGTTTAAGGTAGCTACTGTTAGGCCCACATATTTTTAAGGTTTCTTGTATATTTATCTTTATAAGGGTCATGCCGAGACAATGTGTTAAAGTGTTATATGAGAACACAAATGTCATTTGATAACTTTAGTTAAAACAATTCACATTTCATATGGTAATTTAGTTAAAAAGATCATTTAGAATCCATTAAGAAGATATTTGTGACTGTGGTCCTGAATCTGAGTGCAAGAATATTGAAATGCATGGGTTTTTTTGTATACATTGTAAAAAAGGTGATTCAATACAGAAGAGGGAAGGCGAGAGCTGCGTGTGTGTTTCCTCAACCTTCTCCCGTTACTTTTCCCCTTTTTAAGAGCACAACACGGTCCCATAAGTAAACTCTGAACCATGTACGCACATAAAGAGGAGAAATGACAAACGGTGATTCACATGGCAGAAGGATGAAACGGTTTGAAATGAATCGGCCAACTATTGTGTAAAATAAATCAAAATAATATTTTAGGCTTAAAGCCTTTCTGGATAACCAGATTTAGGATAATAAACACAAACGGAGAGATCTGTTTCTGCAAAAGAATGCATCAAATCTGTTGTACAGTTTATTCAGGGATCATTAATTAATAGGAAACTTGCATGTAGTGTAATTTATTCTCATAAATAAGGTGAATAGGAGGACAAATTAACATTTAAATTGATGCCTTTTTCAATGCGTCAGTCGAGCAAATACAAGAGCATAGTTTCATATATTGTTATCACATATGAATATATCGAGCCAATTGCTGTGCGCCAGCATGTGGATGTGATGCGCTGCATGTAAAAAGTGTCACACCGCCACAGGCGGGGAGGTGACAGTTGGTGTGTTGTGTGTATGTGTTTGAGTTTATTTTGTCCGTTTTTGAGCATGTGAGAGGTGCTTGGTGGTTTTTGGTTTTTGTCTGTCTTTGTGTGGTTTCTGGCTCCCTCTCCCTCTTGCTCTTCCTTTCCTTCCTCTCCCTCAGGGCGAAGTTGTGGGCTGTGCCACAGGAACTGCGGGCCTTTCTCTCCTGCTGCAGGCAATCTGCATTTGGCACACCTGTCTCCTGTGATCATCTGCCATCTCCTCAGTTCCCTGCCGGATTATTAAGTCATGCCTGTAGGTGAAACTACAATCTGCTTGAACCTGCCTATTGTGACCCTTGCCACTGAGCAAAGATACGTCTAAAAGACGTCTTTTAAACGGCTATGTCGGGCGTTGAAAAGACGTCCCCATAGGAGCCAGAACGAAAGTTTTCTGACGTCTTCTGAACGTCCAATGTGAATGTCCAATGTTAACATCCACAACACCTCTGTAGGTTAAAAATTAGTTCAAAATGGGGTCGTTGTGGACGTATTTTCAACGTCAATTGCAGACTCATTTATACTGCTTCCAGACCACGTTTGGCCCTAGAAAAAAACAGTCTCACACTGTATTCAATTTCACAATTTTATTAAATTGCATTTCCATTAATTCAACAGAGTAAAGCTGTGTGAGTGTGCCTGCCTTTGTGACGTCGACTCTAGCCAGAGTAATACATCAGCCCCATCTGGCCCTAACACATTGGCCAGACAGTTCGACCTGTGAGGGGATGAATGTGCTCCTGAAAGTGTGTGTCACAAAATGAAAAATTACAAATAGTTTAATTTAACTCCTCCACCTAGAACAGGCCCTTCACAACAATTAGTCACAAATTTTATAAAATTAAAAGTTCTTTATGCTTGTGTTTCCACCTCCTCCTTTCTCCCTGGTGCATGCTCTGCAGCATGTTGTTTGATCATCTCCTCAGTTGCACCTTTGCCCCATTTCATTACTGCAGCTGCAAGAGTTGATAAAAACAACAAATTATAAATGTGCAAAGGCCTGTAGTTATAAACCACAAAGTCCACATACAGTGGGGAGAACAAGTATTTGATACACTGCTGATTTTGCAGGTTTTCCTACTTACAAAGCATGTAGAGGTCTGTAATTGTTATCATAGGTAAACTGTGAGAGATGGAATCTAAAACAAAAATCCAGAAAATCACATTGTATGATTTTTAAATAATTAATTTGCATTTTATTGCATGACAAGTATTCAGCTATCAAGCTCTCTCCTGTGGAACCAGGTTCCAGTTGGGTTCAGGAGGCAGACACCATCTCCACATTAAGAGTAGGCTTAAGACTTTCCTCTTTGATAAAGCTTATAGTTAGGGCTGGCTCAGGTGAGTCCTGAACCATCCCTTAGTTATGCTGCTATAGCCTAGACTGCCGGGGATTTCCCATGATGCAC